AAGCAACTGCCATGTGATTGGTTGATTAGATAATTGCATTAATGAGAAATTGAACAGGTGTTCCTAATAATCCTTTAGGTGAGTGTATATATCCGCACAAATGTCAAATGTCGGAAAATTAGAGTTTTCCCACTTCAAGCACTGCATTTCACCAATTTAGTGACCTGGATTTAAAAAGTATTTCTGTTTTGAGAATTTCAACTTTCAGCAAATCATAGAAGTTATGTGTGTGTGTAATAAACTGATTTCATATGCAGTAAACTGTGCATTTAATACATGTTTTTTTTAATGTGTAACAAATAGCACTTTTAACATGTATTAGTGATCTTGTTGGAGGACAACAGGTCCAAGTTTGTGTGGCATTTGAGCAATAGCGATTTGGGGATAGATGGTCTGGACATTTTCTAACCAATACTGTGGGAATACTGTGTGTGTATCGGGGGGGTTTGGGTTGATTGGGTCCCTACCAATGTTGAAACCAAATCTACGCTCTTGCATTTCAGACTTGATGTCTATAGTGGTGTCACAACACTAGATTTTATTAATATATAAACTAGTCACTGCCAACTAATCAAACTAAACTCCCCCCTTTCTAAAATGTTAAACCACATAACCCAACCACATAAGTAAAGCTATAACCATTTTCTGACATCGAGGCAAACAGCTGACACCCTGATATAGCAGGATCACTATTTACTTTTGCAGGCAGAAATTTCCCCAGATAAAAATGCTTCATAACAAACGAATCAGACATTCCTGTGAAGGAAGCAGAGCTGTGTCTCCAACAGTCACTGCTTACTGACAAGTTACATTTCCACATGGAAAACACAGCAGGAGTGAGGATCCAGCGAGTAGAAGCAGTTAAAGGGAGGGGACATAGGGTCAGGGTGACTGGTTTGGGAACCCTGTGATTAAGCCTGAACATCACAGTGCCATAAACAATGCTGATTTAGGCTGAATACACAGATAGGAAACATTTTTTGTTTTCAGCCAAATCATGTTTAAAAACATGGCTTCGGACAGTTGAAAGTTAAACATGATATATGCCAAGAATCGCTGTCACAGATTATGACCATGTGGCGTTTTAATGCCCTTTTTAAAAAAATCAAGACCCCTTTAGCCATGTCCATACAGGTATATACATCAAGATCCCTTCAGCCACATATATATATATATATATATACACACACATACACACACACACACATACACACACATGTATATACATCAAGATCATATCTTTGCTTTCACAGTTCAGGTTATTAAATGGGTCACACAGAGAGTGAAGAGGGAATGAACAGTCTTCTCCAGACACCTGGGCAGTCTTCACTGGAGGTTCTGCCTGATTAAGGAAAACGAAAAAAGGGCAGTGGCATTTTACATGAGCCATGTCACACCTTCATGTCCGGGGGCACAGAAGGGGCTTGGGCCGCGGGTGATAGAACACTCCTTACCTCTCTGCTGATGGGACATGCTGGTCATCTGTTACATCAGTAATGCAGCCCCTATCCAGCCTGGGGGTCTCTTCCAGCATTTAACTAGCCTCTTTCTCCCCCCGAAATCCCCAGCGCTGAGCTGCAATGAGAATGAGTGCGATCCCCTGGATGGTGACGGCCACTACGGAACGTGCCAGAAGGCCAAGCGAATGCGGACGTCTTTTAAGCATCACCAGCTGCGTACCATGAAGTCCTACTTCTCCATGAACCATAATCCTGACGCCAAGGACCTGAAGCAGCTGGCGCAGAAAACGGGCCTGACCAAGCGTGTGCTGCAGGTGAGGGCAGCACGCCTGCTCTGCTGTTAAACACACTAGGCTCCAGGTTTCACCCAGGGTTTGGCAGGAATGAGAAGCATTAGGAAAACTCGGTGCTTCTGTAAGTTAATTTTAATTTAAGAACATGAATAGCATCACAGACGTAATTTTTCCTACCACATTCTAGAAAGGTGTGCCAGTGTGTGTTGTTATTATGACAAAGAAGATGCCCATAGACCAGTGTTTTCCGATCCGGTCCCTGGGGACCCACAGTCGGTCCGTGTTTTTGCTCCCTCTGACCTCCCTGTCAGACTCACGAGCTCACAATTGGGAGGGAGTAAAAACGTGGACTGTCTGTGAGTCCCTGAGGACTGGATTGGGAGACACTGCCGTAGACATACTCTCTGGATGTACTGCAGGCATCTCTGACAAAAGTGAAAGACATGAATTGTGGCTGCCGTGGCAGGTCTGGTTCCAGAATGCCCGCGCCAAGTTCCGGAGGAACCTTCTCCGGCAGGAGAACGGCATGACAGAGAAGGCTTCAGAGGGGTCCGTGCTGCCGGGTGGGTCGCCCCCGGGGGCCGTCTCCGAGATCTCCAACTCCTCCATGAGCCCCGTGAGCCCGGCCTCCACCTTGACAGACCTGACTGCCAACACCCCAGTGCTGAGCGACGGCTTGGACCTCCACCCAGCCAGGAGTCCCACCCGGACCGGCTCCACAAGCCTATTCTGACTTTACTTTGAGCCTCTGGCTGCATCCATATTTACAGAAGGACGCCTTAAACAGGTCCGAAGCTGGACAGGGGGATTCTGAAATTCAGAAAAGGGCAGTATTTTGTTATTTTTGAGAAAAGAGTAAACTTAATTGTTTTTTTTTATTTTCAGTATGTTTACAGTGGAAAGACAGAATTTTGTGATATCGAAGCAGCTTTTTGTGCGGACCACAGTCTTGGCATTGGGTGGTCCAAGCTCACCGTGTCATGTGTTCAACGAAATTGCCAGACACTCCTCTGGAGTGTCACGTGACTGTCATGTGCCTTAT